ATCACAGAAAGGTAGTTTAAAGGGACTCTAGCAGATCACCTACTCCATCCCAGCTATCCAAAACAGAATCAGCTATATCCTTGTCATTCTTGATTGAAGACTTCATAGTTGACTTCCAATTTTTCAAACTTCAGAATCTAGTCTGTTCCTAATCCTTTCCAATAGAATGTCTTTTTCCTTGATGCCAGAACAAAATCTTTCTTACTGCAATTTAACTGAATTATCTCTGCTTGTGTTCACCACAGTAAATGAAGAACAGTTTCTTTTCTCTTGTTTGCAACAGCTTTTTCTGTTTATAAAACCCTTCTTCGGTCCCTCTCCTTCTCTCTTTTTCTTTTTTTGGTTAAACAATCCCAGTCTTCTCAGTCTTTTTTCATAGATCACTTTTTCTAGATCACTCTTTGTATTCTGAAATATTTCCAAACATACCCCTTTGCTTTCATGTATGGCACTCAAATCTGAGCACACAGTCTTGCCTGAGCCACCACTGATTCTGAAAATCAGTGGCATAAGGGATAGTGCTTGCTGTCTTGTCACTTGTACTGTTGTTCATATATGCCAGTTCTCTCCCTTGCCTTTTTCACAGTGTAAGGTTGTTGTCATATTCACTCCTGACTCATCACTTTCCACTTTAGCCCTGAGATCTTTCTCTGAATAATTACTGTGTAATTAATTGATCCCCTTCCATACTTGTGCAGTTGGGTATATCTGACTGTGTGTAACACTTTCCCCTGTCCCTATTGCAAAGTCATTTTTCTTCCCCAGACCACCGTTCAATCTATATGAGACATAACTGAATTTTAATCCCACTCCTCAAGATATTTACAGTCTCACCAAGTGTGTGACATCTGCCAATGTGATAATACACCTCCATTTTATTTTTGAACAGTGTTGGATTTATCAGAGAGAGAGTGAAATAAAGTAGACCAAACTGTAAGTTTTCCCTTTTTTAAAAACAGCAATCCATTTGCTCTTTTTCAGTCCTCCGGCATTTCATCTATCCTCCATAATTTTTCAAAGACCACTAAGCCCTCTGAGTCTATTTTAATCAGTTAAGTTCCCTAAGATGAATTAAGTTTATCAGCATGGATGATCTGAGAACATCTATGTTATTTAAGCACTATGTAACCTTTGCTATTCTTTTTACATAGCGAGATCTTATCCCTTTTTGCTGGTGTTAATTGTGTCTGCTTGCAGTTGATGTTTTCATGGAGGCTAATGCAAAAGAGGTATTAAATTGTTTTCACTATATCACAAATATATAGATTGTGATATTTTATTGAAGTGAAGGGAGACGACCATCCGATTGATGAGCATCGACTCTGATTTATTGATCAAATCAACCACCTTTTATAACAGTGTTAATTGACTTCATGCATATTGCAAAATTCGAGCTCACAATAGGTTACAGAGAAAACTCTAACCCCTCCTTTTGTTTACAATACCTGTGGTTTGTTTATTGAAAACAGGATCAGTGTTCTCACCGTGATATGAAAAGTTCTCAAAACCTTCATATCTGTTCCCAGAGCAGCTATCTGTTCTCAGAGAGCCCAAGGACAGAATGTTTGCCTGTTATGGGAAGACTGTCTGAGAATCTTATTGTTTACAAAATGGTGCTTGAGAACCTAATTATTTACAGAATCAAGCCTGGGAAATGCTGCTTTACAGCTACCTTTTACTTTCCCATCAGCTGTATACCTTCATGGCCTCTTTCTTTAAGCCATGCTTGAACCAGGCTCTCCACAATATTTCATTCAACTCTTTGCTGAGCTGCAAATGAAAATTTTGCTTGCATTTGCTTTACATCAATGTAAATTCCTAGTAAAAGAATTTTACTGCCCTCTAAGGAGGGGCAGTAAAACTATACAGAAAACAGAGAACAGGAAGCCATCTGTTCCAGGCCACCGCAGGCAGTGGTATCTTACAGTTGTTTTGTGTAGCCATCCCAGTAGTATCTGAATGTCATTAGATTGCTTGTTCCCATTCTTCTTGTTGAAAATTGTTTCAAAGCCTGATTGTGATGATAGTCAGATCCTTCTTCTAAGTTTCAGCCAAAATTGAACCAATGGTGGCTCAAAACTGTCCTATGCTTGATCCATTCATCCAAAACTTCCTCTTCTGAGACTGACAGATTAGGTTACTTGGGTTCTACCACCTAAGTAACCTTATCCCAGGACTTTTCTTTTAAAGGCACTCTTAGCTAAAGTACTGAAAGCGAATATTCACTAGCCATTGTGTGTAAAGTTTAACTTTTAACAATAAATGAATTATTAATGAATGCAATAGCATAACTTTTTAAACTAACGTGATTATTTTTCATGTGAATTTTGGAATTACAAATCTCCTTTATAAAGCCTTTTATGTGTCCAAGTCTTAGCTGGCTTTCATTAGTGATAAGCTTCTTAAACTTAAATAGTTTAACACTAAATTTTAATCTAACCCTAAGAGTATGTTGGCCAAAAAGTACAATTACTTCTAATGTAGAATGTTCAAGCTCAGTTTTTCACTGAGGACTTCATACTCTGAAGTGATTGGAAGATCAAGTTGGCCATCAAAAAGGAGCCTATACTAACAGCCTATAGTAGACTAACAGGAGCTTTGCAATTTTATCAAGTGCTTCATATTTCACTGATTGGTAGACTTGAGCATCTCAGTAAAGAACAGAACACTTTTACAAAAGCATTTCAAAAACTACACTTCAGTCATGAAAATTAAGTTCAAGCTGACATACAGGGTTTCATAACAAATAAATGGCTAAATCATACTATTACTTGCAGTGAAATTAAATTGACCTGTGTTACCAGTTTGTTCACTGCTGGGGTGAAACAGCATCATCTGTTCTAATATTTTCTTTTAACAGCTAAGAAGTCACTTGCAAAATAGTATTCTTTCCCAGGACATGAGTTCCTAGAAATTGGAGTTCAGGAATACATGTGCAAGGAAAAAGACAAGGCTCTCAAAGGATCTTTTTCTGAGATTTTGTGAGAACTGTGCAATTAAGCACATACTAAATGTTCATTTACTTCCACATCCTCAGCTCTTTCTGCCCTATGACTCTGCTCTGGGTTAGGAAGGAGTCCCTGCAGCATCCTTCCCCTGCTCTCTTCAGGCAACTAGACTGCAGTGGAGGGGCAGAATATTGCCTTGAACTGGAGACAGATGCCTGCCATGGGGATAGCAAAGAGCTTCCAGGCTTTGCAAGAGGCCCTGGGGAGCTCTGGGAGATGCTCTGGGAGGGTTTGTGTAAACAAAGCAGCAGATTTGTGAAAATCTGTTTCCTATTACATGAAATTAATATCCATAGATTTCTTCTCTTGCTAATTGTTGCAAATTTTTCTCTTGTGAGTGAAAAATGTGGGAATTTGCTGTGAAACCAGCTGACTTTTTTTTTTTTTTAGCATGATTGCTGTGATTGGGGCTCTTCCAACAGAGATAAAGACCTAACAAGGTCTTCCTGAATGCTGGCTTGTGGAAGTTTATTTGATCTTTGAGGGTCTGTTCTGTCCACATGACCTTAATGTCTGCGGCTGCAGTGAAGAAATTGAGTTAGAGGGGAGGTCAGGATACTGATGTCCTTGATGCTTAGCCCTGGACAGTTGTCCATCCTGCCCTAATGGGGAAAGAGGCTGACATCTGGAAAATACAAAAACAAAGGAGCAAAGCAGTTAGCTTTGAAAACTTTCTAGATGCTGCTTAATTTGTTGCCTGTGGCCTTGAAATCTTGTGCATGACCAGCATCATATTTGCACACACACAAGCATTTAAGGCTTAGTAAAACACGAGACTCAAAATCCAGTGCAGTTTGTTAGGCTTTTAGTGCAACCCTGTTGCCATTTTGTCTTCCTCTGCTGCTTTCTCATCCACCTGAATGTGTTCAAGTAATGGAATTAGCCAGGCACCTGCTGGCATTCGATCTAAAATACAGAATACCTGCTATTTCTTAAAAATACATTAAAAAAATCAAAACAAAACCACCACTCCACAAAAAAAACCAAACCCAAAGTTGCAAAGCACTCTTCTGCCTTTTGTTGATGCTAATTTGGTTTTCAGAGTTTAGGAATCCCCTGTGATTATTTGCTGTGGTAGTTTGCAATCCATACTCTCAGTAATGGAAATAAATGCAAGATCAGCAGCAGCAGAGACATCACAGCGGTAATCTAATCCCAGTTTTTGCAGCGAAAGCTTGCAGAGATCAGGCAAGGGTTTCTAGCTCTTGGATGTACCTCTGTGCAGTTGATCTGGAGGAGAGTGTCCTCTGGTCTGTTGAGAAAAGGTGACATTGACAACCTCCTGCAGCTTGTAGGAAATCTTTTGGGAAGCTTTCCCAGGAGTGGAATAGGCAGCTGAAGGGCAGTGCTGGCTGGGACACTTCAAACAGAGCTGACATTCATTAACATATTAACACATGTTAATGACTGTGGGCATTGTGCATGGGCTCCCGTGCCTTTGATGCAGCTCTGAATGGGACAGGACAGAAACACTGACAGAGAAATTCCAGACCCACAAGGCCACTTCTGTAGGATTTGGGTTCCTGAACACTTTCTGCTATTCCCAGTCTAGGCAAGCAGAGCTAATACTTTGCACTGGCAATGATAAGGCCCTGGATATAGCTGGGATGTTTAAATAATTTGCTGGTAGAATTGTGTTGGAAACAGAAAAGCTTCTGTTCACTTTTAACATATTCAGAATCTACTGCTGGCTGGGCCCTGAGACCTCTTTGTGCCCTGATGTTTGTATGGCACTTCCAGCCTGCAGAACTGTGGGTTGGAAACACAGCTGAGCTTTCTTTTGTAGCTTTATGTGGGGGTGAAGTGACTTGTTTTTATTGTAGTTGCGCTTAATATACACAGCAATTCTCTGCTTTCCTTATTCGAGGTCCATGATTGCTTTTTCAGATTTCTGGTGGGTGGAAGTTTATAGCTGACTCAGGCTGGAAGCATTTCCAGACTCAAACTGTTTATGTGAATATGTAGATGTGCTTTAAAGAGAGGAAAGCACTCATGTATCTGCCTTTTCTATATTTAGCTGATATTCCCCCGCCCGTTTACCAGCGTCCGGAAGATCTGACGACACACGATACCTCGCAGCCCATGGATACCAACATGATGGCATCTGCAACTCCCCCTGACGTGCACACAGGAGGTAAGAACGCCTCCTTCATGTTTTCTGCTTCACTTCTCAAGAGTAAAGAACCTCCAGAACTTACGAGTAATAAATGACTTTTAATTTTGGATGCTGTTCACGAAAATTTTTGTCTGCGGAAAAGAAAAAAAAGGGTCATGTAATTTTTCTTCTGTTTTTGTAAGGGATGAAATAGTAAAGCTGGAGATTATTTATAAATGTAAATACTTATTTAAGAGAGGAATCTATCCCATGACTCTTTAAAAATGTAAAATTAATGGAATTTATTACTTTCTTTCTCCCAGCCAACTCGAAGACTAAAGTAATTTTATGTTTTCTATTGGGAACTTCCACTAATCTCTGAATGGAAAGAACTCCTCTGAGGCTGCAGAATACAGAGTTATCTGCCTGAGGTGTGGCATTGCTAGAGACTTTAAAATTCTGTATGAAATAAAGGCCTATTGCTTTATGTACTGGGACACAGATCTTTTTACACATTGCTTGTTAAAGCCACAGCAGCGGCCGGGGCTGCTGAGCAGAGGATTCAGTGCATTCATCATCATCTTGTGAGAAATGAGCCCTTCAGAGAACACTTCAGCTTGCACACTTGTGGCCCATGCCAAGAAAGAGCAGCAAGCTGGATGCTGTGCCAGAATGATTATCAAGATCACAAGCATATGAACAACTGAACTGTTGTGTTCTGGATTTTTTGGTGTTGGTGGGGTTTTTTGGGTTTTGGGGTTGGTTTTTTGGTTTTGGTACTTGTTTTGCTGCTAAGCTCATTGTCTGGTTTCAGGAAGTATATCTGCCATCTTAGCACAATTTGGATGGCTTTTGTGTTAGCCTATTTACTCTCTGCTTGGAATGAGTTTTGCGTATGATAAACTCAGTGTGTAGCACTTCCATTTTTGCTGCTCACACACACTACACTTTGAGGGTATGAGTAGTTTGCAGAAATTTGGGGCCAGAAATTTACTGCCCCAAAATACATTTCTCAAACTTTATGCCTAACTGCAGACCTCTGCATGTGTATCCCTCTCCCAAAATGTGTATTATAGAATTCCTCTAACACATGAGAGATAAAGAAAAGAGGGTTTGCATTTTTCTTCTTGCTCTTTATCAGTCAGCCATTTCAAAATAAAAATTGTCTATTGATATTTTTCTCTTCTAGTAGTTTAGTACAATGGGTTTTCCTCTCTATCCCTTCATTAAAAAGAAAGACTTTTAGGTGCCTTCACATGTTTATTATTCACGTATGTATGCTGTGACAGCACTACTTAAAAAAAAATCTGCTGCAGGTTGTAGAAGAAAAGTTTTTACTGTAAACTTACTGCATCATTTTATGTTGCAAACTTTGTAGAAGCGTATTCTTCTTGGTGATTTGTTAGTCTTAAGAGATTTGATTGAACAAGCTGCATCCTGTCAATGAAGCTGGGTAATTTCCATTGTTGGTCCATGCTGGGAATAGAGAAACTAAACACACCTGCTCTGCATGACTTAAAGCAAATGTGAGGAAATCAGTATGAAATCTGTGTGAGAGAGATATGAATAATTCTGTAAGAATGGCCAGCTGGCAAGATTTCTTCCTGACTTTGAGAACTGGGGCAAAGCTGCAGCTTAGATAATTGCTGGCATCTTTATAGGAATTGAAAATATAGCAACCTCTTACTAATAACTAAAGACTGTTTTTTCTTCTTTTTTATTTCCTTTTCAACAGTGATGTGAAGGGATAGAAAGTGCCAGATTATCAGGAAAGATCAGCTTTTTACCAGTGTTTTTAAGCAAGTTATTAGCAATAAATGCTATGCTCAGAAGTTTTGCCACAGTGATGTAGGATGTGTTATCCTGCTCTTGATTATTTGCCACCTTTTGTATCTACTGTGTACTGCTGGTTTGAGGGGGAGTTTGTTTTTTTATTTTTGTAACAGAAACTCATAGTGGTGTGATCTGTGAACAGAGGAAAATATGAACACTAATCTTAGTTGATTGATATCAGTAAAATCTTGGAGCTGGGAGAAGGAAACCTCTGCCCAGAAAAAACAAGTTTTCCCATATTACCAGTCTTATTTTCATTGTAGCACTTTGCCCTGTAGTGGGATGTGCAAAATTGGTGTTTCAGCAGCAAGTTCAACTTTTCTAGTCTTAGTAGTGAAATAGTGTCCTTCATTTAAAAGAAGGCACACATAAAGCAACCACAACCCCCAGCAGCCTCTTTTTATTTGGGGCTGTGCTTCATGCATGTTCTGCAGACAAATGTCAGTCTCTCTCGGGTTTTTTGAAGTCTCCTAGTGTTGTCCCAAAAAACCTAGGAGAAAGACTTGGTCACACTCTGAATTCTGAAAGATTGATCTGCTGACTGTATATTAAAGCTGCCTTGCTGTACTTTGTAAAGTGAGAAATGGTCTTTGATGCAGACTGTAAAGCTGTTTCTTCCTGTTACTATACAACTTTGCAGTAAGCAAACAGGTGACTTGGAGTTAGAACTGAAGTAGAAGTCTGTCTACTGAGTAGGAAAGAAAGCTGAATTGTAGAGTTACAGCATTTCTCTGCTGTCACTGTAAGAAAATGGGGCAAGGATACTGGGGCACTGCTTGGGATGTGTCCAGGAGCTTCCTATACTTTTCTGTTCATCCCTAGTGGCAGCCTTTGTCTCTTCCGAGCCTTGAGTTGAAATTATTTCACTCTGTGTAGCCCAAATCTGCCAAGTTAGGACTCTTTTCTCCTCAAGCCTGTGTTCCAGCACTGTTGGGCTGTAAGGTTTCTGTTGTGGCTTTGCAGATGTCCAGGCTGTCGCTTACGAAGAGCCCAAGCACTGGTGCTCCATTGTCTACTATGAGCTGAGCAAGCGCATCGGGGAGGCGTTCTACGTGTCCTCCACCAGCATCCTGGTGGATGGCTTCACTGAGCCCTCCAACAAGAACAGGTTCTGCCTGGGGCTGCTCTCCAACATCAGCCGCAACTCCACCATTGAGAACACCAGGCGGCACATTGGCAAAGGTGAGTTTGGGATCTGGTCATTGTCACGATCTGTTCCAGTTAACAGGTAACGCGGTGATTTTAAGGTGCAAAACTAACCAACCAAGGCACAGGGGATTTACAGTAACAAATCAACAAATGCAGTTTTATTGAAATAACCACAGCAAAAATGCGTTGATGAGAGGAACCGGGGAAAAAGTAGGAGATGAGGAAAGGAGGGAGGAGAAAGGGGGTGGGGAATGGGTTATAGCTACTGCAATGTGGTGCTGCTTTGTTCTCCGAAGGTCCAGCCGTTGAAGCCCACTAGGCCACGTCCGGGGAGATCTCAAAATCTCTAGCTAACTCAGGAGTTTTTATTACCGAAAATTGTGAGGGTGGGGAAACAGGTACAATAGGGAATAGATGTAACAGGTAAAAGGTAGCCCATGTTCTCAGCAGCAAATGAGCTTGATAACAGGTAGTCGATGTTCTCAGCAGTAAATGAGAGCCATTGTTTTTCATGGTCCATTGGTCACAACCTGCTGGCAAACATCTCACTTTGGTCAGCTTGCCTCCCCCCAGACACCTCCCCCGGTTGGGGATTTACATCTCAGTCTGTCTGTAAACCAGGTGAGGGTCTTCTGTGGGGACCGACCCGAAACTCAGGAGAACTCCAGCTGGGCCGAGAGGTGGGACAACTTCCAAGGCTATTGAAAGAGAGGTAGGGCGTGGTGCCCCGTCCTCCCCTCAGTATAACTTAACACTGTACTTTCAGGTCTCAGGGCTTTTGGCGTGTGACTTTCTCCTTTAAAGCCAGAGACTCTAGACGGGGGGGGGGTCTTTTCTTCAGTGGTCCCCCAATGACAATCATGAGGCAGATGAGGGAAAATTCGGACAGACTCTCACAGCCATCCATTGGCAAAGGTGAGTTTGGGATTGGCCATCCATTGGCAAAGGTGAGTTTGAGATTGGCCGTCCATTCTGGGTGGGGGTACTGTTTCCCGAGATGGTGACAACCTGGGCCACTTCCCTCAAGAGTAAACTGCTCTTTCCTAGCATATGGGAGAAATGCTTGTGTTGGTAAACATATAATTTTCTGGCCTAGTCTTATAAACAAAGTATTGTTCCTATCTGGTTTGTAATTACAGGAAGCTTTTACCCTTAATCAATTTTTATTGGCCTGAAGGCTATCGAAATCTAAATTAGCGATTAAGGCAGTTTGTCTAATGAAATGTCCTGATTTATCTTGATTATTGCTGTATATGGAAATCCAAATTGTGGTTCTTGGCACCAAATGTTTTAGCTAGGCTTAGTTCTAACATAAATTAGCTATCCTAACATGTATTTTGGGAGATAACCTGCTAATACAGTTTATTCCAAATACATTTTTCACAGGCTGGTGATTCTTTCAGTGGGAATTTTGTGCTTCCATTCTGTGTCTGTGTCTCAGCAAAAGAGAAAATCTTCACCTTTATGCCTGACTAGTAGTTCTCTTTTCTGAGAACTCACCTGTAATGCAAATGGCAGGCAAAGCTTGCGTTGCCCTCTGCAGTGGGCCATTCCTGCAAGGCACATTTTTTAGGTATTTACATTTTTAGTAAACTGTAAATTTTCTGAGACAGTTGAGGGTTCAGCATGCCCAAGCAGTGGGGTAGATGTGCCAGTTCATGAAGAGGAGAAAAAAACTGAAGCTGAAGAGAACTGTCAGGTCCTCAAGTCTGAGGCCCCAGTCTGGAGAGCTTTTCTCTTCATGGGAACTTGTGCAACTCTCAGTAGTGCACCACACCTGTGTTGTGCCCCTCAAGTGTTAATACTTCCTTCTTTTCCTCCCCATCCATCTTCCCCAGTATCAGGGTATTTATTTAACACCTCATTCATTTTTCCTGCTAGGAGTAACCCAGCTGCAGGCAGAGTTCTGCTGAAGCACTTAACTGCGTGTGTTCCAAAGCAGAGCGTGGGAGAGACAAGGAAGCGGTTCAATAAGTAAAGGTGTACAAGTAATGGTGATGTAGAACGGTTAGTCTTTGAGAAAGGAGGAGTAAATCCCAAACTTGAAGACATGGCCATAAGTGTTTTTGCAGATCAGGTGGGAGTATGTGTCTACCCACATAGTCAGTGGCAAAATCCTACATGACAGAGCACAGCCAAGGCTTTCTTACTGGACTGCAGTCGAGTTTTCTAATTCTCTGTGTTCACCTCTGTGATTTGTGACATTGTGGGAGGAGAAAGGTTTAAGTAGCAAATAAACCATTTTTAAACACAGAAGGTAAATTTTCTTGCTTTCTCAAAACCTTTAGAATTGACTCCTACTAACACAAAGGTTCTCTGTATGTTACTTTTTTGGGCTTTGCTGCTGTGGATGACAGGTGAAGGAGCAGGCACTAGATGGGGGGAGGACTCTAAAATTGGTGTGTAGCCTCATTTGGCAGATAGGTCTGAGGAATACAAAGGCCTTTTTTTCCCACTTAGCTTTCTGGAATCAAAGCTAGCTGACGCAACTCAGGCTACCCAAATTAGCACTCAAGACTTTTCCAAAGAATCGAGCTTGGGGATGCTTCAGTATCTACAAATGATGCGGCAGGTTTCTGCTCTCTCTGCTTGCATTCCCAATTACTGCTTCACTTAAATATAATGAGAAAAAGTTCAAGTGGTCAGGTTGTCCAATGGAAGGCATCAAAACTACTGTGCTTCCTAGTTTGGTGCTGTTGAATATACAACATGTTGATTCCCCATACATATATACATATATACATATATACATACATACATACATACATACATACATACTCTTCTTTCAGATTGCCTGCTGATGAAAGAGGAAAGTAGAAATGAAGACAGATGATACTCTGATATGTAATTAAGGTTTATCTCTTTGAACAGAAGCCTATCTCTGTGGAGACAGAGCATGAAAGCAAACACAGAGTGTGAATTTGCCACCTTCTCCTCGCAGGTGTCCATCTGTACTACGTTGGAGGGAGGTGTATGCTGAATGTTTGAGCAACAGCAGCATCTTCGTGCAAAGTCTGAACTTGAACTACCACCACGGCTTCCATCCCACCACGGTCTGCAAAATCCGCAGTGGCTGCAGTCTGAGGATTTTCAATAATCAAGACTTTGCTCAGCTCCTGGCTCAGTCTGTGAACCATGGCTTTGAGGCAGTGTATGAGCTTGTTAAGATGTGCACTCTCCGGATGAGTTTTGTAAAGGTATGTGGGCAATTTGTTTGAGATTATTTTGTAAGCAAAGTAAATAATTTTTTTTAATGCAGTGATTTTGAATGGTTCAGTAAGTCCCTTCATCGGCCTATTAATGGCTGTTTAATTTTAAGGATGGAATTCCTCATTAAGTCTAAGAGAGATCTTAGTGAAATGAAGTATTTGTGAACAGAAAACCATCTGACCCACATACTTAGAAAGCTTGAGGTGACTTACAGAAGATGTTTCTTCACATAAGTCCTCTATATCTTGACCAGCAACTCCCAAATTAGGAGCTGCAGTCATTATTTAGAATAATATGCATACCCTTCTATTCTAGGAAGGCATGCAAAGTCAGGATTTGTGATGTGGCTGTTGTATGAGTGTCAGCATAGGTACTGATATGAAAGGGCTGGTCCTTAAATGAAAGTAATCAAATGAAGATGGTGATATGCTGCAGTTCTCTCCATGATGGGAGGAAGAGAACTTTCAGATGTGTTAAGGCAGGGGTTCCTAAAATGAAATAGGCTGTTTACAGCTGTGCATTCTACAGACTTGTAGGGCAGCATTGCCTAAACAGTCAAACAGGACCTCTTGTGTATTGGAAGTTGCACTGCACAGTGTTCAAAGCTGCTGCCAGCTGTGCTGGGAGCTGGGAAATCCCTTCATTAGGGATTAAACTAATACAGAGCAGAGCAAACTGTACCTGCAGATGTCATCACCTTCTCTTCAGACCTGCCCCAAAAATGGTTCACTTACAAAACAATTTTGAATGCTTTTAAATATCCCTGTATATCTTTGGTAATTACTGTAACAGAATCAGGTATGAGCTGAAACAAAACCTGTCTTAAGTAGAGAAACAGCCTGGTGGGGGGTGACCACGCCCTCTTTCTCCAAGGAGGAATGCTTCTGACTTACTGCTCAGTTTATCATGCCCATCCTGAGAGTGATACTTCGGTTCTTGTCACACAGATGCCTCACCCCCATTTCCACATCAGTCTTATCACCTCAATTGGAATATATTCATATGAATATATGAATTTGAATATCCCCCTCTTCAGAGGTTTTATAGGGACCTCAGGCAGCTGGCAGTGATGTATGGGGAAATTTTGCACTGCTACAGTTATGTCTTTAAACACTTCCATTCCAAGAGATCTGAACTGATACTTTTCCACATTTATAATTTTTTTAGCTTCTGATTTGTTTGTTGAAATGTGATAATAGTTGGTGGGTGCTATGGGTGCTGTGCCACCCTGCTGATAATGACTGTTGAAAGCTATTTTGGTAAGAAGTACTCTTTTCACATATTTAGTATTATAATATAAGGTGATTTGTTTTTTCTTTCCCCACTTACAATTCTATTTCCAGGGTTGGGGAGCTGGATATCATCACCAGTGTGTAACGAGCACTCCATGCTGGATAGAGATACATCTCCATGGTCCCCTTCAGTGGCTGGATAGAGTACTTATTCATATGGGCTCTCTTCAAAATTCTATTTCTTCAGTGTCTTAAAAGGTCCCAAGCTCCTGCATTTTGGAAACAGTTGAGCCTTGCATGTACTCAAAAGATGTATGAGTCAGACACACGTTTTTATATTTTTTCCCCCCTCCGCTGGCAACAGCTGAAAAAGAGCCATGAAAACACTTGACTTCTGTGACCAACTGCTGGGTTCAGGAAAACAAAGATAAGTAAACCTGTGGGATCTCAGCCTCTCAGAACTGGGGGGCAGAGTGAACAAGACCACCCCTGGGGGGCTCGGGAGTCCTGGAATGTTGCCAGAAATGTCTGGTGGCTGGACTTTGATCCCACAGGGGAGATGACATCAGTATGAGGATAGGAGGATTTCACTGGGGTGAATGGTGAAGGGATAAGTTAATTGGAGTGTGAGATACAGGGTTTAAGATTTCTGTACAGGGGGGGTCTAGAGAAGTAAGATGGAGGAATTGGGGCGTGCCCTTCTCCTTCTTCTTCTTCCTCTAGGCCTCCATCTTCTGTGGTGATGTTGGCACTCCGGGATTGGACCTTACTAGGGGAACACTGGTTAATAAGGGTAGAGGGTATTGGAGAAAAATGATAAATATTGTATACGTAACTCCAAGTATAAAGATAGACGACCGCCCCAGGGGCTCTCAGTGTGTGCCCATGGCTGACTGCTGAGCAGAACTCTGTCAGGCCAAGAGAAAATCTTTTAGATAAGCAATTAATAAACACCGAGACCGAGAACAGATCTGAAGTTTCTTCTCGTCCTTTCGAACCCGGGCGGCCCAAGGCCATCTTTGGGCTTTTTCCAGACCATCTAAACAGCCCCAAATCCGACATAAACCCCTTTGACATACTGTTGGTATAAAGAATTTTAGTTTACATTGTAATGTACTGTTGTGGAGTTGATTTACAGGGCTTAGTACAAGAGGGACAACAGAGCCAAAGCCAAACTCAGTGTGCTGGACAGAGTTCCTGAAGGATTTTCCTGCAGCCGTCACTCTTAAGGTTCTCCTTCCTCACATTCAGCACTCACTGGTTTCCCCCGCATCCTCTGGAGCTGAGAGTGGATGTTGGCCAAGGCTGCAAGAAGAGCGTCTCTTCAGTACTACTTGGAAACGCTACACTGATGGCTGCTGTTCTCTTTCAAAGTAAAATAAAGCATAAGGTTTAATCTCAATAACTGTGCACTATTTCTGAAATTGTGTCCTGACCATAGTGCTGTAAGAATGTTAGGTATGTTCTTTTACTAAATGTATCTATGGTGTATTTGAAAGTTTATAAATGAATTAGATTTAGACCAGAAAGGAATTAGGAATACTTGAATGGGGGGAGGTGGGAGTGGGAGGGGAAAATGACAGCTGAAATGTAGAATATATTGTAAACATAGCATGTTAGTTTAAACTGAGGTCTGAGTTTTGTTGTGCATGAGTTGAGCAATTTGGAGTTCCAGACCTCACCAGTGTGCAAAGTCTTGAAAACAGTTCTTGCAGGGAGATTACTCTGCGGCACATTCATGCCTGTTTGTGGCCATATCAGATTGGCAGTACAGCTGGTGGGCTGTATAAAAGAGCAGCAGTTTTGTTCTGAACTGCTGAGTGCACACTTTAATCTCACTCCTATTATTCCGGTCCACAAGGTTATCATAGAGAACTGAACAATCTGTTCTCCTCTTCAGCATTGATGAAATGTGCACTTTTTCATGCTTGTTCACCAAGGTCACTGACAAAAGTATTCCATTTCAGAGAACACAAAGGGGCATAAACTGAAGGATGAATTAAGCAGAAGTAGAATGGTTTTTTTGTTGTTTCTGCTGCTATTAAAATAGTAGTGGAGATGTGCTACCTAGGTGTAAGTACAGCACTTGAAACAGAGAGCCTTAGAAAGCTTGTTAATGAAGAGATTATAGTGATCCAGGCTAACTCTGGTGAATAAAGACCTGGTTAAACATAAAGACCTCATGAGGCTATTTCAAAATGGAACTTCTTGTCTCTTTCTGCTGTGGTTTCATCCCATGCTGATAGGCACACAAAATTGCATATTTTCTCAGCTCTGAAGTGTTCAGTTCTCTGTGTATCATCATCTTCTGGACCCGAATAACAGCAGTGAGATTAAATTGTGCATTCAGCAGTTCAGAACAAAACTCCTGCTATTTAATAGTCTGTCACTTTCACGGCCCATGTGATGGTGCTGTGAAAAAGTCTTTGCAAGACAGTGCAAGGCATTGGGAGCAGTTCAGCCAATGAATTCTGTGTTTACATTCATTAACATGAAATAAATCTGTGTGCTTTAACAAGAAGACAGGCAGAAACAGGGTTGTGAGATGACTGAAGAAATAATAATAGCTAAAAATAAAGAAAGCAAAAGAAATCTGTAAAGGATGTTTGTTCTACCTTGGTGTTGAAATTGACCCATTAAACTGAGTTTAAATCAGCTGGGCTGCTTGAGGATTAGCCTTTCTTTTCTAAGTGTGGAAAAGGGGTGAAGCTTTAAAAAAAAAAACCAAAACAACCCAGGCTGTTCAATTTGAGAGTGTGCTGGATTTCTGAAATATTATTGGCAAAATTAATTCCTGGTCTGGAAAGCAAAGATTTAAAAAAAAAAAAATTTAAAGTACCTTGTTTCTGCATATTTTAAGCGTGAAAGAATAGCTACCGGAGTATGCACTTTACATTTAAGTAAAAGAGCAATAATGTGCCTCTTAGCTGAAGGACTGAATAAAAATGATTCTCATAACAAGCAGCTGGACAAATACCCAAATAGTATGGATCTCAAGGTCTACTTCTAGTCAGTAGAATCCTAGATTTTTGGGGGACTGGAAGGAAGGCACAGATATGCTTAGAGCTTCATGAAGCAGGTATTGAAGGAAGCTTCCCTCACACATTTCTTGATTTCCATGCAATCTGCCATCTGCCTGATGATGCAGTCCTGGCCACCTCGAGGCCAGAGGGAACTTGGCTTTGGCCATTCCCTGAACCCCCCGGGTCATGGGCATCTCCGCCAAAACCAGCGAGGGCGTCTCGGAGATGTGGGATAAGACGGCGGAGTTCCGTGACCTCCTGCTCAGCAGCGGCGAGCTGCTGGCCGAGTGGCGCCGGCAGCAGAAGGTGTGGATGTGGAACCTCGTCCAGGACAACATGCTGCAGCACTGCCACACCCACCTGGCCGGCAAGGATAAGATCCCGCTTCTGGAAGAAGAGGTTCTATGGGTCTTGTCCCCTGGGCTGGCAGCTGACCTGCTGCTGAAGGCATTCAAAGATGGTCTCCAAGCATTGTTTTCTACTCTGTTCTTGATGGGTGCTTTCTGTAAACTTGAACATGAAATGCACTTTTTCTATGTGTGGATTCTGATGTTTTGCTGCAGCAGAAATGAATTGAAAACCTATCCAGTACTCTGCAGAAGAATTCTTTTGGATTCTGTATACGCAGCGATTATGACAAATCTAAACGCTCACTAAGAGACTACTACACACTATTGGAAAAAAAGTAAACTTCCAAATCTTCTATTTCTACATGCCTCAGATCTCTTGATAAAAACTGGATGCCCATGTAAAATGATTGGGTTTGGGGAGGGCAGGAGAGCAAGGTTTGTGGTGGTGCAGGGTTGGATTCTGGTTGTGGGGTCATCTCAGAGCAGGTGACACTGCAACTTTCCATTCTAATATAGCAGCAGCTGTTGCCAGAATGAATTGCATTTTCTTTCCTCACCTTGAGTGACAGCATTGCTTCAGCCTTTATGTTCTCCTCACATATATTGCTAATTTGTGAAATCTGCAATGCATTGGCTGTTTGAGATTTTGGGGCATGGGAGTTGAGTAAAGCTAAAGAATACAAAGGAATTTTTTTTTTTTTTTAACTATATGCAGTTCCCTTCTTAAAGATTTCTTTTGTAATGTGGCAAGATTCAATTACTGACTTGCTCTCTACTGGTGCGAACATTATTATTTCCCTTTTATTTTCCTTTTTAGAGTGCTCTGTTGCTCTCCCTTCGATGCACAGTCAATAAGTAACATACTCCATGAGTTAAAATGAGAAAACCATTTTTACAGAGTTTAGTGTGTCTGTAACTATTCCTGCTGGACTGTTCTAAAACATTTATAATTTGATGAAATATAGAACAAAAGGTGGTAAAGAATGTATTTAAGGAAACATTAGTGTGTTCCCCTGGAGAGTTGGACAGTTATCAGTGCACAGACTGACTAGCAACAGGATTCCTCTTCCAAAAACCAGTTCTCCACAGCTACTCCACAGTCATATTTTTACAGTTTATTTAAAAGTAGCCACCCCCCCTCATAATGGAACATTTGTAAATTGAGAATAAAAATCTCAAAATTAAAACCTCAGAAGCAACTAGAGACCATACTTGGAATGGAAGGATGACAGACATACTCTGTTCCCTCCTGTCATACTAAGATATGGTTCAGCTGATGAACAAGGAAGGAAAAGAGGGGCTGACATTCATGACAGTGTATGGAGAAGGTACATTATGGAACAGCAAGAGAAATGCATATTTTTTCTCTATTTTTCCTCCCATGGGAGCATAAGAATTGTCTGGGATAATTCACTGTGAAGCCACAGAAACTGATGGTACAGACACTGTTTGCTGTGTGAGGCTTACAAAAATTCTGAATTCAACGCCTGTTCCTATGTTTTGGATTTGTGTGTTGCACGGGACCATGTGATGCTTATCCTTTGGCACTAGGTGGGTTTGTTTGTAATTGTGCTCGAAGTGGGGAATAGTTAGAAGTTCTTGTAGTTTGAGTAAAAGATTGTTTACTTGTAACAACTTAAAAGCTTCACCTTTCAGAATGCATTATAAGATTGCTGTGTTCTTCTGGATATCTTTTGTTTATGTGGTATGGCCTTGCTAAAACTATCCATTTCTCAAAGCTTCCTTCTGCGCATACTTTTAGATTCTTATGAAGGTGTATTGTATAATTCACACAGTACATTGTATTGTGTATTGTTCTCCCTTTCCTTATTTCTCCCTGTAGATGGAAAGCTGCTAGAGCTGGGGTGAAATCCATGCTACCTTTAATTACTAAGGGCAAAGTCCCACTTTTGCAAAGCACTTCTCTTTAATTTCTTTCCACTCTGTATCTTTGCATCTCTGTGTTGTGAGTTGTTTGGCATTTCTAGCCTGACAGGGCAGTGCTGGCAGGGCTACCTCACAGGTGCAGCCCTCTTCACCACTGTTAGATGAGGGAAAATGCATTTTTCACCGGAGTTAGAAAATGATCCACACTATAGTCTCTTGCTCAAAATCCAGGGTGTTTCTCTTCAAGAGATGCTGAAGTTATGTCATGCATCTGACTGGCTGATGCCACAGTATGGAGCCTTTATTTATAGAGGTGTATAAATAAAATCAATCTTCCTCTACAAACTGTCAAATTGTATTGCCCAAGAGCTGAAGAATCTGCTTTAATCTGTTCATTAAATCTGGAGATAATGAATGACCCCAACTCTCTAGAAAAAGCACCTTCTGTTCAGAAAGACCAGTTTGTTTTAATCTGGCTGCTGATATGAGTTGTCTACAGTTTTTTCCTGCAAAAAATGAAAATACTGTTTTTGATGTGTTAAAAAAGTTACTGCACGATGGTATTTAGTGTAATTGTGTTAATTCTTGTTATGAATTAAAGAGATTTTGAATAGTTGAAGGTGTGTGTGTGGTGATATGAGCACAGACAAACTGAGATGTGCAGGCAGGGGATGAGGAAAGGGAATTACTTAAAGAAGATGTTCATCTTCTGACATTATTTGTTCAAGGGAGAGGGTAGATCACTGGCAGCAGGTGCCCTGAGCACTTGATATGGCTGGCTGCTGTTCACATTTTTGGGATGTGAGTTTCAATTGCTGTGTTCTGTTTCATCATCATCAGGAAAAAAGAACCACATTTTGAACTGAAGTACCTCAAGGTTAACTCCCATGCCTTATAAATTAAGAAAAAAGACAATTGCTTGTCTTCATGGCCAGCCTATGAGACATGGAGGATGCATTACCCATTTCCTAGTTAAGCTGCATTAATCTGTTTTCTGACTCCTCTCATGTCCAAAACAACCTGCAGGCCCTGTCAGGGCACAGCCATAGTGAGCTGCCTGGTGAGAAAGGGTTGGTTTCAGGAACCTCCAAGAGGTTTTTAATTAGAGTCTGGAACTCCTGCCTCTCCATTCCTGGAGAGTTTTATTGCCAGTCTCAGGTCCTCCCTGTAATGAGCTGGATCTGGATGGGGTTTGGCACATGCTTGACTGTCCATTAGCAATAGAACCTGTGCTAATTGCCTAGAACCCCCCAAGGTCCATAGGGCTGGGCAGATGGATGGTGTGGGACAGGCTGCTGTCTCCTCTTGCCTCTGCCCAGAGTCCCAGATTGCCTGCTGGGCTCAAAGAGGGTGAGACCTTTCCCCTGCACTTAGCAGCAGTCTGTCTGTGCCTGGGAGGTTCCCTGTGTTCTCTCACCTTGCTGGGAGACCTTCCAAAGATCTTTGGAAGAGGTGGAGGGTATCTTTCCTTGAGGGTAGCTTTCTTTGCTGGCTGTCCTCTTTATAGCCAGAAGGAAAAGGATAAACAAGGATGCTGTCAGAATTCAAGCTGAACACATCCTTGGGATGGTGTAAGATGTCAGATTTCACGTGGCTTGACTGACAATATTGAATTGTGTTCTTGGGTAAGTGCTTCTTCCTTTTTTGTTTACGGGAAAAGAGTCTTCAGAAAGTCCCTTTCAGGAAGCTTGTGATGAGATGATGTGAGGGAGGTGGCAGTGTTACATTGGAAGCAAGATAGTTGATTTGAGTTTGTTCTGATGCTGCAACTGGTTACAGCAAGCAGTCTGCCCTCTGCAAGAGCAGAGCAAGAGGAGGGCAGGTCTGAGCACTTCTGCTGGGGCGAAGTTCTCTGGCTTTCAGTGTTTGCACAGTAAATTCAGTGTCAGCATACACAGAGACAGCAGATCTCAGAGGAGTCAGGGGTAAGTAGCCTGGCATTTTGAGCTTTCTAGAAAGAGCTGCAGAGCTAAGGAATTTCTTCTGAGTTTTTGGCCTGTCATGAACTGGCAGATGACATGGGAGGAGGAAGTCCCTGGTCATTTGGCAGTGCAAAGAGCAAGCTTTGAACCGTGCAAGCTTCTGGTGGGTTAGGAAACATTCCCACTAGACATTTCAGAGTCCTGGCCTCTTGACTGCCAGTGACAGTTTTGGGTGATCTTTTTATTTATATCTGCTTGCTACTATTGACTTGTTTCAGTTCCTCTCTTAGACTAGCCCAAGAAACTGAAAAAGTTCAATGGGAAACTGGTTTTCTGAACAGTGCAAAACCATACCCCATGCGTTTTCTTTTGGCTCTCTAAATGTGGAGGATTCTAGAAGTCTCTACCACCAAATAAGAGCCTGGATCTTGACAAGCTATAGATTAGGTGGCAGGAAAAACTAATTACAACACTCATATGGCTTGGGCTGAATGGCAAATACAAACGTTGAGTGCAGTTATTAGTTTTAATAGACTAGCCACAGGAGAATAACAGTGTGAAGATGGGGAAGAAGACTGGCCTGGCTGGATAGGGAGCTTTTTGGTGAAGAGGCAGTCAACTCTGGAAAAGTACAAGGATGTCATTAGGTCATGCAGAGAGAAAATTAGAAAGGTGAAAGATCAGCTGCAACTCAGTCTGGCCTTCCCTGTGAACAATAATAAAAAGTGGCTTAATAAATTCATTAATGACAAAAGGAGGGCCTTGGAGGTCTTTTCCCACCTTAATAATTATAGGATTCTGTGAAATACATTTATCCTTGAAACATGGTACCCTACTTGTTGTGAAGTACTTAAATTCACCCTCAGTTATATTTTCCTGGTTGGAGTTGCTGGAGGACTGAATTTCCTGGCTCTGACTTTGAAAAATCTGTCACTTTGAGTAGGAATGAAACTTGACCGATGCAATCTTATCACTGTATCACCATGTAAATGGATCTTATGTATTTTTAATTGAAATGTCAACTTAAAAGATGCAGTGCATATTTTTGAATCGCACTGACATTATATTTAGATATTTTCATTAAGTTCTGGGTATGCAGTCCCCTTAAAAATAGGGAGCTAAGTATAAAAACATGAAGTCTTAATGCTTGCTTACTAAATATTTAAGTGCAAGCGGGCATTGCTCTGGTAACACTTGTGAATAGAGTTATTCTGGTAGATTTAAAATGTGTCACTGCCATGAGTGACAGCCACCAATGTATTCATAGTACTTCAGAACCCTGTTGACAGAAGGAGCTTTCC